CTCCCATGATCCTTTGCACAGATTCTTTGCATGATGACGGCGCCTCCGTGTAGGCACAGGATGATGACGCAGAAGGGCACTTCAAGAAACAGCTGTTTGGTCTCCTACACCCTTCAACCCTTCAAAGCTCTCACTCCGGAGGGTAAACCCTTTGAAGTGATTAGGGCATAGGGATGAGCCCTTCCGAATGGAACGCAAGGTAGTTCAACAATTTAGGGCCGTTGTTAATGACGTCACACGCATGTGGTGGAGTAATAACTTCTGCTAATTAATTGATTCGAGATCTCTGAGATGCTGCTGTATTGAACATGGCACCTGATGACTCATTTACTATGTTTTATTCCCTTTCATTTTGCTTTATTTGATGTTTGATTCATCGCAGGTTTCCTCTTACATCATACTCCGGGGTTCCCTTAGGCATTTTTGCACATGCGCACTCTTCAAAAACGGCGCTTATTGTACTAAAATTTATCGATTAAAATTTATATATTTAAATAGAATGGAAGATATAGATTGTACTGCCTGTTAGCTTGCTTATTGTGCCCAAGAGCATAATTTATTTAAGTCCATATGTCTTACTAACAAGAAACTGCTTCTAACCACAGGTCGAGAGCTGTAGTTCCTACCACGTAAGATTGCGACGCTGTTTGTGAATGTTCGTTTGAACTATGGTTTCGGGAAACCTCGAATCGTTGAACTATGTTGGTAACAACAGAACTTGCGACCATAGTTGGCTAAAGATGCTTTTGGGAAACGCACCCCAGGTTATTTACCTGTAGCACCTGATAAATAGGAAGCCTAGCACATTTACAGAAAATAGCTTACTTTTACATGGGAAAACGAGGCGGATACAAATATTAGCAATGTTTGTTCATATGGGTGACCTCTGGTGGCCAGAGAAAAAGAAATGACCTCTCTGTGCAATATACACTAGGCGCATCTTAATGTGTGTACTTGTGCACTATTCTGTGCCATTTTGAAGTATTAATAGTGTGAGTAGGGTCCTTTCACTGAAAATTCCAAGAAGTCCATTATAAATACCTGGATGATGCATTTATTTAAAGGGGTCATATGATGCGATTTCAATTTTTCCTTTCTCTTTGGAGTGTTTCAAGCTCTTGGTGCATAAAGAAGATCTGTAAAGTTGCAAAGACTAAAGTCTCAAATCCAAAGAGATATTCTTTATAAAAGTTAAGAGTCAACCACGCCTACCTAAAACGGCTCATTCTAACACGCCCCCACATGTCTACGTCACGATGTGGGAAGATTTGCATAACGCCACCCAAATGTTCACGCAAAGAAAGAAGGCGTAACTTTTATTCTCTCTGTAGTATTGTTGTTGCCGCCGCTGCCATGTCGTGAAGGTGCTGTGTGTTTCATTGTGAAAGCGAAACTAATTAGTTTGGCCTTCCAAAAGAGGACGATATCCGCTTCGTCATGCCTGGAGCTGATCCGTGCTGGTCGCTGAGGAAATACATCAACTTCACGCTGTGGATCGCCGGATCGGCTTTCACTGTGGACGAA